ATACTGGAAATATTTGGTGGCAATGGTCAAAACTGTCTGTTGTGTTCCAAAATTAGGGGTTATGGAAGTGAGAGCAATAATGTCTAAGCCAATCTCTGTCACCTCACCCATCTGGTAACTAACTTAATTGTCTCTTTGTTGTGCCGTGCAGCTCTTGTACCAGACATCCTCACACTCGAGCTGTGAAGAAACTATTGTTTTACAGGCACTGCAGCTTGTGTTGTGATCTTGAAATCTCAGAAGTCCAGCCAGGTCTTGCTTTGCTGGATGGCCTCAGCAGAGGCAGGAAACAGTGCTGGAGAGATGGTAGGTGACCCTTTTCTTCCTGAGACAGCAACACCCCTTGGTATCAAGAAAATAGACACTGCTTGGGTTTCTGTCCTTCTGAGGAGACTGCAAATGGAGAATAGCAAAGACCTTGTGGCTCCTTTTCTAATTACACATCCCCTGGTATTCTCTGATATCAAGGACAATGTTGTCCTGCCTGGTGACATTCTGCTGACCTAGAATTCCCACTGACTTGTTTTGGGTTGTTTTTTTAACATGGTGTGATATTCTTCATTCTGTCTCTTGAATACTTATATAGAAAAAAAAGCCAAACCACCCTGTAACCTCACTGGGAATGTCTGGTGGAAATTTTTCACAATTGCATTTCTGTGTTTCTGAAAGTAGGACACATCAACGTGAAAGAAATGATGCTCAACCCAATCTCTGTCACCTCATTACTCTTGAGCTCCAACTTAATTACCTGATGCTTTGCGCAGCTCTTAACCAGACATTCTGTGTCTGCTTAGAAATCTGCCATACAATATGAAGCGATGACTCTATACCCTCTTCTTCCTGGAGAGATGAGCTGTGAGGCTTGGTAAATATAATTTCTAGAGCACCCGGAAGGTGCATTGTATTGTACAGACCTGTTCCTGCACCACTGGAGTTCACAGATGACTTACAAAGACCCACTGAAACCACACTGAAAGCTCGTATCACAAAATTGGTTTAGAGATAATAGCAAAGTTTTAACCCAAATGAATCAGTGGTTTCTAGTTTACAGCTCTAAAGATAGAGTTACATTAACAGATCCCAAATTCTGACCTGTATACCACTGTGGCCATATTGATGCCAGTGCAATTGCAAGGAAATGGTTTATTTTCAAAAAGTCTTTGAGTTTCTTCTGTGAAAGTTCATACCCCAAAATGGAGGGGACATGCCTGAATGCCTTGCAAAACTTACTCCTGATTCATACACGGACCAAGGTCCACCCTTTGAGTAGGCTCTAACCCTATCAAAATGTGAGTTGTACACTGAAAATTAATTTCACGCCCCTAAAATTTAAAATACATTAGATTTAAGAGTAATAAATAATATGAGCGATAACTGCCAAGATATTATAATTTTGGCCATGGAGGAGATAAACTGGGAGTTCAACCCCAGTAGATATTTCTGGGTTGCAAGGATATGACCACATTCTGATACATTTTTCTTTGTTTCTGTATAAGTGTCTCATTTCCCTGGACTCAAAAAAGATGTCAAATCACTTCTAAAGGCTCATTCTGCTGCAGGTACAAGTACACGTGTCCAATGCAGTGTCTCTTCCCAGTGGTGGTAGCAGGAGGCTGCTGACTGAGAGCCCTGGGGGTTGCCCAAGGAAACCAGCAGTGCGGGGACAGGACAGCTCAGCTGTGTCACCTCGCAGGTGCACTCCTTCAGAACAGCCTGTTCTTACACTTTCCTCTGCTCTGCTCAGAACTGAAAGTTATAGGGACCAATGAACCTTCAAAACACAATGTGGATGCCTGTATTGCATATCTCTCTTTTTTTTAAATCTGACTGTGTTTTGCTTTGATTTTGGAGGTCTGTGAGACCGTGTTTTGTTTGCCATGTCCTTCAAAAGTAAACGCACTTGGTGACATGTTGCATCTTCTCCCTAGGCCTTTCCTCATACTCAGGGAATTAACTGAGTTTCCTCTTTAATTTCACTGCTCCCAGGGGTGTGTTGTGCACTACAGCATTTTTAACGGATTCATAACATACATGTCATTGCAGAGATGAACTTTCTCTGCTGCATTGTCTCCAGAGTGGGCTGTGCTGAAGGTTTAACCTAGAGAGTACAGGTGACACCACCAGTTGTACAGATGGCAAATTCCACATCTGGGCTGACTTCCTTTTGGCCTTCTTTTTTCTCATTTTTTGTGAGATGGAGACTTGTCACCAAACAATTTTGAGCATGTGTGAGACACTTAACAATATAGTAAATACACATCCCTTATCTTGCCCGACAGAGAAGCTTTCTAAAAACTTGACAGTACTTCAAAACCATGGAGACCTTTTCCAACAGACAATCTTTCTGAGCTTAACTCCAGATAGGCTTTGGTTTTCACTACAATAGTAATCTGGTGTATTAGAGTTTTAAGAAATATATCTCTATCTATTTCCTGGTTTTGCTCACAAAATATAAATCACTGTGAACATTGCTATTACATGAGATTCAGTGCCTTTTGAACTCAAGGTTACACTTAACCTATTTTTGAAACTCATTTTGTGTAAATAAACACAATATTAAATAAAATACGAGGAATTCACTGAGATGAACAAAAATGTTTAGGAAAGAGCTCAGGGTACAGGAACTGGTTCCTAAGACATGAGAGAACACCTCCTGTTTCTTGTGAACAGCTTCTCTTTGGAAGTTAGCCTTCTCAGCAGGGGCTCAGCAGCTTTATGGAGGCATATCCTGGTCTCAGAAAGATATTTCTAAAATGCCATGTTTAGTTCTCTGTCTGAATATATAAGGTACTCAGAATCCATCTCTTTTACATGATTACTGGCTGATCAGGCAAATAACACTGCTTTGTGACTATCTGCCTTGTTCACCAGATCTCTGATTACTGTCTCTATGCATGTTCTTAATTTCTTCTCACACAGGACACTTACAAAGAAGGTTAAGACCTTATCTGGGGACTGACATTAACCTGGACCCATGTAACCTGCTCATTACTTTCTTCGAAATCCACCTAGTACTAGAAGAAAGAATAACTGTTCATTGCTCTTGTGAAACCTTCACTTCTTTACCTCCCTGGCACAGAACTTTTGGTAGCTACTCCAGGGTTAATAGCCTTTCTGCCCAACCAGCCACTGTTAAATGTTGGCTCTCCGAGACTTTTCTTTTGCCCATTAATCTTTTGCCCAGATCTGGTGAGGCCAGTAAGGCAGGGAGGTGTGCATCTCTGTTTTTACAGTGCTAATGATAGGCTTGTAAAGGGGGGAGGCTGGTGCTGGGGTTTTGCTGTAACACTGTCTCTTTTTGCTGCGCATAGCTGTACGTGGTATGCTTGAACTTACAGATCAAAGAGAATTACCAGAATGATCCACTTGTGAATTGTGGGCCATTATCTGTTATTAACTCATCTTGAGCACTGTGGTGAGCAAACTGTAATTTACAGCATGTTATTACATTTCTGCTCACTGTGGTGTGCAGCAGCTGAATGTGTGTGTGTGATAGCCCATAACGACAAGTAATCATCTGGAGCTAATTTCAAACAGATCTTTCCAACCTCTACTACTGCTGATCAAGAATTTAATTTACCTCTAATAATTTTGTTTTTCTGCTTCCTGCCCCTCCCACTACATTTAGGAGAGCAGAAGGTTTCACCTTCTCTGGTTCTCTTCAGTACATGCTTGCTTCCAGGAAAACTTGGAAGTGCAGCAACAACCTCCTCCAGTTCTCTGCCAGATTTCCTTCAGGATTTAATGATTCAGGTGGCTTCATTTCCTGAAGTAGTTCTCTACTGACACCATATTATAAAGTTGAGCAAACAGGAGGGCTGGTAGGAGACTTATTTTTATTGCCTGGCTCTAGTCACATGACAGATCAGGTTACAAAATACTAGTACCCTTGCCAACTCTCAGGATCCACCAATTCCTCTTGCTACTGTTTTAATCCAACCTGTCTTGTCTTTTTTTCTTTTTTCTTCCCCCCCC